AATTAAGCGCGATAACTTTTCGACGACGAGAAGGGCCCCCGCATGCATATTCGTGCTTATTCTAAAAGAAGGTGCGAAAATGTATAGAGATCTTCTTTATTTTTCTTCTTTTCTTCTTTTTCTTTTTCTTTTTCTTTTTCTTCTTTTTCTTCTTCCTCTTCTTATCTTCGACTGCTATTATATTGTATCCTTTTAACGCGTAAACTCGAAGCTCTCGAATAAAAAACATACACGTAGATATATTAGATACGTTAGTAGTTGGTCGTTTGTAACAAATACCGGAAAAGATCGATATCATATTTACAATACCGTATGCGGGTCACTCGGTCACGAATGCAAGCAAAGTGGTACTTCAGAGAGCGTTAAATTCGTTTAACGAGAGCTTACTATGTAAGCGCGACACATATTTATCTGTTACGATTTTAGGAATATGAAGGAATTAAGATAAATGTGAATGAATTAAGTTATATAAATTAATTGAATGTGTAACTAGATGGCTGGCAGAGCAGGCAGGCAGGCCAATGCTTAGAAGGACGAAAGGGTGGAACGAACGGTGGTTTAAAAACAGGGTTGCGGGGTAAGGGAGGAATCGAAGCTTAAAACGGGGCAAGGAGCGAGAGAAAAAAGAAAGAAAAAAAAAAAAAACCGGTATTTTTGCGTCGAGCACCAGCAAGGGGTGCATTTCGTTGCGATTATAAAAGGCAGGGCAACCCCCGGTGTGTCTAGACGACGTGGCCTCCTATCAAAAACAGACCACCGAATTGAAAAGCCCGAAAGGGCAAGGAACTCGTCACAATGCCAAGAAATTAAAGTTTCTCTATATATTCACCTATATACTCGTTCTTCGAGCACTCGTTTTCTTCTTTTTTCTCTCTCGCTCACTCTTCCCATTTCTATTTCTTCTTTTACTCGTCCACAACGCTGGAACTCTAGTCCTCTCGATGTTAAAACTCGACGTCGTGCGAGGGGTAAGGAATAAAAAGAAGAGATTACCTCGCGCGGAATAGACGAAGCTCGTACTTATGCCTTTCGAAAATGTTCTCAAGGGTCTTTACGGATCGGGAAAAACGTAAGAAATTTTCTATGATGATCGTTCGATCTAAATCCTAGGTAGATATTCGAGGAATCGTATCGTTTCGCACAGAAATTAAAAACGCAAAGCATTGAGATACTCGATAAACTGTCGCCCGGTGCTAATTGTCATCGCCAATCCCTGAATAATTTACATAATCGCACCTGATTATCAGTAGTTTTTAGGTTTCCCATATGTATTCTCGTTGCCTCGCGTCATCGACGTTGTGGTATATCCTTAAAGAATCCCATAAACGTTTTTTAATGCCTCGTTTCATCGAATTGCCGATTTCAACCTGTCCCAAACGCTGATGTTCGTACTTCGATCGAAATGCCACGTTTTACAGAGTACATAATTTTTTAAGAATCTTCAGAACACACGGAGGTTGAATACAGACTACCGATAGATTATTAAAGTCTAGACTAATTTGAAATAAATCGTTTGTTCTCGTGAAAGGATGACAAGGTATATGAGGAATCCACGATGATTCGTTTATTAGATGCGAATCATTCATTGACGTTTTAAACGGAAGTATGAATCAGAATAAGAGTCACCTGCGAAACTTAGAAATAAATCATAGAGTATTTTACTTGAGTTTTGAAATTATTTAGTGGAAGGACTTGGAACGTTGAATAACCATAATTTGCGAGGTCGATTTCTTAGAAGGACCAAGAAAAGAGAGAATGAATTTACAATAAAATTCTATACCATTCATTCTCGCTCGTTAATTCATTAATACGAAACTAAATTACCTTGAAACATTCTCTGAACGACACCCAAATCTATTATACGTTATTTATTCTCTTTCTCTTGTTAACATTGACGAGAGATAAAAAGGAACTCGCTAATACTTTTTTATGTTTTCTATCTATAACGCGCGTTTAGAAATTGAAATTGATAAACTACTTTTCAAATGCTAGAAAATAAAGTCTCATTGTCAGCTAGGACCAACTCTACGAGTACATTTTTTAAGTATTTTTCTCTACGTTTCATTATGTTTTTATAAATATACATTGAAAACTAAATGAAATAAAAAAAGAGAGAGGAATTCATCCGACCCACGTAAAAAAATAGGTTTTATCGTAGGGTCCAGTTCGATAAGAACATCCGCGGTCCGAGTGTGATACGTCAAACTCGGAAATTGACTCTATATTTACTATTACAAAAATCAAGAGATTAAAAGAAAAATTATTAACGAAAATTTATGGGGTTAATCAGTAATATCATAACAATCGATAAAACGCAATGTTCTTTACGATAATTACATTTCTTTGTGATGCGTAAGCTCTCCAAGTCATTGAATCATTCATTCTATAGAAGAAAAATCAACGAACTGGTACAATAAAGCTACGATAGATGGCACCAGTAAATAGACGATAGGTTAAGAGCCGAGATCAGTCACCCTTGTATATGTATAGGAAAGAAGATCGTCTATTGGCGCCTTCTTTTCTTTGATATTAACCGCAACGTCGCCATTTTCTCAAACAAACTCATATTATTTCTTTTCTCAAAATGACTAATCTCATTATGCATACGAGTACAATAATAACAATTACAATATACATAAACGTTTAAATGTATCAGCATATAAGAATCGAATGAATCATATGTATCGAATACTCGATATCTCTAACCTTGCAGTTTGTTTTTGCTTCGATATTTCAAGGAAAAATATATCGAATAATACGAGTTCTTGATAGAAAATCTATTTAAATAAATGAGAATGTCTAATATTACTAGGGTTTTACGATCGTTTAAAGCACTTTTCTACGAAAGCATGATGACGTAACGAATATAACACTCGTGCCATTGTATACAACTTATTTAAAAGTAACGATTCATGGCATTAACGTTTATAACGACAACAGACGATTACTATATAACATAGAATTACGTACAAAATAGAATGATCAAACGAATTTAGCAGGAAGGTAGGTAGGTCGTCGTCGTCGTCGTTGTCTTGTAGCCGTGCAAGAAAATTCCGTTGATGAAGAAGGATGAAAATTGTGTAGCTCGGGACGTCGGAGTATCTACGTTAATCGAATTTGTATAAAGGCATCCGAAGGCAGAAAGGAATCTGACAAGGCGTGCAACGATGGAGTGGCGACGCAAGTGCCGACCGCGTGCCCTTTTTCTGTTTCCTCCTTTTTTTCAGGCTTGGCGGTCGAGGTAAACATAAGCTCTGAGTGCACCCAGTGGCGCCCCCTAACCGATAAAACGCCATACAAAATCGTTCTTTCACGCGCGACGAGTAGTTTTCTATGTCTTTTTATCTCTCTTTTTCGCACGCATATATACAACACCCTGTATCCTTCTCTTTCTTTCTATCTCTTCCTCTCTTTTATACACTCTTCTATAACTATACTTTTATCTTGTTCGCACGCATGCGAGAATAACGACATGACACATAGGACTCGGTCGAATGACCAACGACTTTTAATCAAAGGGAGTTTCATTGTTTTTCTTTGTTTTATTTTCAACCTTTTTTGATCGGGTGCTTCCCTAACCTCGAAAAAAGATGACTTGCGTGCGCGCGAATTTGTTTCTTGCCTACGTAAAGCTCTGCCATGCCACGCTACATCACACTTTACGATACGCCACGCGCGCACCGTGCACGCTTCGAATATCATCGGCATGTCTACGGTGGTGGGGCTATACTATCCGTGTGCCGAACTCTGACGACCCCTTGCGCTTGCTTTCTTATTACGATAATCGCCCTTACAATTATTATTACTATTTTACTCACCCTTGTCTGAGTCTTCGAGATCTTCTTTTTGCATGTAGGATATATCTGAAACCCACAAAACGGCACAAGTTAAAAGAAAACCCCTCGTGTTTTTTAGCAGCCTCGTCGAATCCACAGTCACTCACTCACCCGCCATGTTGTAACAAACTGCGGCGCGCTCTAACGGTATATCGTTTAATTAAAAAACGATATCTCGATATGCGATTTTTTTCGGACTATCGATAAATTTCGATTAATTTCGAGATCGCGTATCTTCTACACACACAAACATAACTATTGCGATAAATATGATAATGATTATTTTCGATCATTATTTAAACACAATTTTTATACCCATATTAATTTGTGTAATATTTTTCTCAAAATATATATGTAAAATAGTATATATAATATACGTGAAATACGAATAATAATATATATGTATATATATTTCTGTAACGTGCAAAAGCTTCTTTATGAAAAAAAATTCAGGGAAAGTGATTGTTGACGACAAGTACTGAATGAAATTTATAAAATAGTTTTTCTAAAGCAGGTATATAATAAAACATTAGACTTTATATTCCTGCCAAGAATATAATATATATATCTTTCTCTTTATCTTCTCATCCTCTCACTCTTTCTCTCTTTCTTTACGTATATATATATATGTGTAGTTATATATAGTAATTGTAAGATAATCAGTATTTTACAATCTCCTATATAAGGATTCATGTTACATCATATAGTTTGTTATTTCGTTTCTCTATTTAAGTGAAACACGAAACAATATATAATTTTTGCAAAATGTTTGATGCAAGAGAAAATTGTACATCGAACTATACTTGTCATGGACTTGTGATCCAGTCACTTATCCACTATAAGTGTTTGGAATCATAGTTTCATAAGAATTGCTAGCAACGAGTGTAATAGCTATAAATTTCTAAATACGTGCTAGTTATTTAAATATCTTTAAGTTACTGATAACTTAAAGAGTTAACGTGATTTTTAGATTAAAAAATATATATATGTTTCATATTTTGTAGACACATATTTCTGACAAAAATTTGTGATCCAGTCACAACTTTAATATCTTATATTTCTATTTGTTTTTTTTTTTCTTCTCATAATCGTGTATTATATAATAATAATATTATTATTTTTAAAAAATTGCTAGCAATTCGTTTCTAAATTACAGCTAACATCTTTTATAATGCTTTAGTGTAGAAAAAAATATGTATTTATCTATGTGTGTTATCATTTACAATTAGGCATTTAATTAAAAATATTAAAAATATTTAATTAACAATATTTGTGTAGGTAAAACCTACCTAAAATATGAAGCAGAATAATATAAGTAGCATGTGTTACTTTTTCTAAGCCACCAAAGTCAATTAATAATTAATAATGATTTTAATGTTTTAAAAATTACCAAGAATAATGTATAATTTAATCTACTCGAAAAGTTATTTGATCATTGATAGTTGATCAATGAGAAAAAGAATAAATAAATAATCGATGGTGCAGAAATTGTAACATTTACTATTGACGTGATTCTGCATCTTGACTTGTATAGCTTAATTAAAACGTAGCATTATCATTAATCGTATTAAAAGTCACAGTTACAGGAGAAGGCCTCATAATTATGATAAAGTTTTTTTTTTTGGGGGAGGGGAATATTCCATGGTTGAAAACCATAATTCTCTTCTATCAAAATACTATGCTACATATAGAGAATTGCATATAATATCACGACTGCATTCCACGTATGTTAGATTTCATTAAATTGAATTCTTCAGACCATTTTTTCATTACCCCATATCGTATTTAACTTATATGTTTATCTATTCCATCATGGCAACGTTTCTACTTCACATAATCTGTTTCGTACGTACGCGTATCTGTCAAGTGCACGTTCAGTTATTTTAAATGTTGAATAAAACCAATGTTCATAATAGGAACAAAAGAGATTGTACGTCAATAGAAGAAGATAACCTTCTATTTTCGTTAGTATTTCCTGATAACATCTCAGTGTGAAGTAATATAACAGATATAGTATAAATATTTTGTTAGCAAGTATGGCTTTGCTGGTTAAGTGTCATATACCATCAGAAACCATTTCATCGATTGTAGCTCTACACATAGGGCATTCAACCAATTGTTTTGAACATATGTGACAAAAACCTCTGTAATAAGTATCATTTATGAAGACACATTAAGTATGGATAATAAATCAAATTAATTTAGATTTATCTTACCTATGATTACATGGTAGTAATCTTATTGAGGCCTTCTGATCGAAACATAAAGTACACGAGTCTTCCATAACACTAATTCTTCTCAAACGGTCTACATATATATGTCTAGGCAGCACAATTTTATCTTCTGGATTTAATGTAGCATAATCATTAAATTTTTGATACACCCTATCAGTGGGAGGAAATATAAAGGGTACATTCCCAAAATTAAAACGGCATTGTTGGAATGACATGAAACTAGCTGCTGCAAAAAATCCAGACCTAACAAAAAGCAAATGACATATTTAATACATCTCCATGACATTTTTATCACAATTTTTTCAAATTCCATATAGAAACATACTTCACAGTCTTGAAAACTTGATTACACGGCTTTATTCGTACTCCATTTATAGCAAATATTATTTCTTGTTTATTTAAATCCAATAAACATCCTAAAATATCTCCAGCTCTCCAACTAGGTCTATCATTATATTGCTCACTTTTAGCATTATACCATATCAGTCTTCGACAGCCATCACAAGCTAATGAAAATTCATCATCTCCTATACCATAACCTTCCTATAGTAAAAAAAAAAAAGTATAATTATTAATTCAAATAATAGAGTACTTATATTCTTATAAAAAAAAATATATAAAAGTATAAATTTCATACATGATTTAAGAAAGTACTATCTTTTGTTGCCCAACCAATTTGCATCACTCCTGTAGTAATTATAAGTGTTTCATAATACCAAACTCCCGAATCTACTTGAAACGTACATCTTACACTTTCAAATGAATATGCATCACAACGGGCCTAAAATATAAAATAAGAAAATGTTTGATATTATCAATAATTATTATTATTTATAATTGATTGATAATTACCTCCAAACCATTTGGTGATATTTTCAGGTACTCGCTTACATCTTTTGTATTTAACATAACATTAATGCCAGTCATATCAACAGTATCATAAGAATACTTTCTACCTTCCATTAAAACTAGAAAATGGCAAATAAATTATCATTTATATAAAATATATATAATAATTATACACACAGAGAAATATTATTATATTTACATAAATTATCCAGGCACCATTGCGCACAAAAACCAACTTGGCGTTTTACATAGTGACGATTTGTAGCCCATTTTTCCAATTCTAATAGTGGATTTTGTTCTTCTGCTGAAAGGCGTTTCTTAATCGTTATTTTATTTTCACCTACAAATAAATATAATATATGTAATAAATATTATTTAAGATTTATTTTAGAGATTTTATGAGATTAATTAAAATGATAAATCATCATAGAACAAAGCTTACTCGTTTGGGCAAATTTTTCTAAAGCGATTAAAGAATATAGTACCACATAAGGTTCATTATCGTTTCTCTGAAACACAGTAAAGTTTTCCAAATTAATATATTATTCGTTTAAATAATATATTTAAATTAAATATAAGAAATAAAACAATAACATACAAGATTTGAAATAAGATAATCTAACGTAGCATCAGATAATATCGCTATACTACTAGGACCAGCTAATTTTTCTGCAATGCAGCCTAAAACCACACAAATATTTCGCTGTTGTGTTGCACTGATTTGTATTTTTCCGAATGTTTGAGACAATTGAAACATATGTGATAAACGTAAAACAGAATCCTATAAACAAGGAAATGTTAAGTTTGACATTTGAATAATTATATATGGTAGCTATAAATAATAATACAAACTTTTGAAGGCAAAGGTGCATCATCTAATAATAAAGTAATAACAGAAGGACCTAATGGATTGTGCATTGGAATAACATTTATCATAGAACTGACAACTTGTATCCAACCATCCTCTTTATCTGCAATTATATGTAATTTTGACATAGCAGGTGGAGGTTCTTGATCACTGAAATAAAATGACTTCTATAATATATGTTCAAATATTAAAGCGAATAACAATTCTTGTGAATATATCATATAGTATATCAGCTATGATTGTTAAATAATTAAATCAACACTTACTTATCAACTAGAGAGCCAATAACCCCAAGCGTTTCAAGTACAAGCATATCAATAGCAGTTGATGTTGGGAACATGAAAGTTGCTGTTGTTGAATCGTCAGGTACTATCATGCTTACATTTGCTTGAGGTAATATAGTATCTTCAGACTCTGCACGATTTTGATGTTCATTATATGTTTCAAGATCTTCCGGAGTGTCATTACACAGACAATTGCCCATTCCCACTAATTTTATAATAATTTTCTAAGTTCTATACAACTATGTAAAATGCATGCACTATATAAATACAAACAAATAACATCTGTATTTTTAAATTCAATATCCATATAGAGCTAAAATAAGAAAAAATAACAATGTAATGTACGATCAAAGAAATGACATATAAATTACAAGCAAGAAAGTACTTAAGATATTAAAACATGTTATCAATATAAGAGCATGAGTACAAAGTAATTACCAGTAAAATGCTAATAGGAAAATTCATGTCCTCCTATCATTATTAAACTAGATTTCAAACAAATATGTTCTTAATATACTGTGCTCAGTATTGCATTGATTATATATCCAAATATAATTAAAGCTTAAAATTTATAATTAAAATTGCAATCAGTCTTAATTTATTATCAACTTATTTCAATAATTATTCTAAAAATAAACAAATAAAACTTTATTAAATAAGTTATGAAATTGTGTATATATGTACATAGAAATGTAAAACTAAACATTTTTAGAAATGAATATAATACTTACTCTAATTCATTGTTTGGTTTTATCGTTTTTAATCACAGTCATGTTTAATAATATTTACCAACTTTCACGAATTGACCATGTTAAATTTTTATCTTTAATAATCCCCATTGAAATAAAGAACACAATCTGCAGATCCGTTTTTAGAGGTTATGTTCTTGGTGGTCTCACAACAGAAATATAAGCATAACAGGACTCAAGTAGTCCCAATGTCTATCCTATAATCGGTCGTTAAATAACTATATCAGATAGAAAATGTTAATTTTATAATGTTTTCTTTCTATTTTTATAATGATTTTTATCAAATTCATGCATAAATTGTTACATAGAATATTAATATATATTATTTCAATTAGTATTTTCTTTTTATATTTTTTGCAATAAAAATTTTTCTTCTTTAATATAACTTACAATATACTGAAGTTATAAAAGAAGGCTTCGAACTACGCTAATATAATTATAAAATCAATTAATCAGTACATCTCTTATATATTTTTATATCGATTATCAGAAAGCAATAAAATTATATTATTTATCCACGAACAAGTGTTGTCAATAGGAAAACTTATTCTCCCCTCCTCTTTTACACTCTTTCTATCATAGTTTCTTTCTCTCTCTCTTTTTCTTTGTTTTTCTATCTCTCTCTTTCTCTCTCTCTCTATCTTTCTCTTTTTCGTTATATTATAGAGATAAGTATAAAAATGAGGATTATCATTTTAATACAAGAGTGATTAATGAAAGATAAATGATTAAGAAAAGATACGTTATAAATTAAAAATTCTATAAGGGAAGAATATATTTGGAATTAATATATAATCGTTTTTATATTTTTGATTTAAATTTGTAGAATGTAAATAAACTTTATTGACGATATAAAATAATAAAAGAGATCTTGTTTATTAATGCAAAACGCTATTAAAAGCAAAGATGTAATCTATTTGATATATTTAATTTTATTATTATCATTATGATACTTACATTAGATGACTTTAATTGATAATACGAATTTTGAAAAGTCCGCCAAAAGATTTCTCGATAATCGAAGGTCGATCTCGATAATCGAAGTTCGATCTCGTTCATCGAAGATCGAAATCGCGGTGTTGTCGCGGTACGTCTTATACTTTCAAGACAAATTTCTTGACAGTTATTTGAGTGGAATTATTAAGTGCATTTTAAATAATACGCGGATAAAATAAAATGTATACTTTAGTGGTCTATAATATTTATTAATAAATTAATTAAACTGGAGAAAAAAATTGTGTTAACTCATCGACGGGGACTCCCTTACGAACTACGTAAAAGTAATCACATGGAGAAGACCGAAGAGTGTCAACGATCAATAGTATAACGAAAATGAATTGGTGAATATTACTTTAAGTATTCCGTGGAAATCATGGTGTCTGGCGAACACGAGAGATTGTTACCCGAGCCTGAACATTACACGAAATGCTTTTACGATCTCTTCAAAAATGTAGCAGAAGCGCAGAGGTAAGTAAACGCGTCGTCTAACCTATACGATCTTTGTTTACCTGTCACTTTTCCTTTTGTCTTTAAAAGTGGTTATCATTCTTAACGATTTCATTAAATTCTTATATCAATTTCTTTAGAAATCAAAAGGTTCTTTATCAGACCTTATTTAACTCATTAATAAATACACGGTATAACTGGATTTATTTTTCTTCAGGAATAACCTCAAATGTTTTATTTATGTCACCTATGCACACTGACAGTTCTAGTGTATACAAATATTTTTTGTTTACCTTTCATGTTTTATCTCCTCGATTATTTATCAAGACTGTTATCTACTGTATCATTAGGAATTATAATTTGCTTTTTTTTTACTAAATCTATGTTATATTTTTTGTTATTTAAGAAGAATAACACTTGATGTTTGATTTATTTTTAGATATAAGGATGAATGGAAAAAATGTAAGAAGAATAAGGCTGCTAAGAAAAAAGATAAAAAGAAGGTATTGTAATTTTTTTTATAATTTGATTTATCTTTTTCTACAATATTCAATATATTGTATATATTTGTAGATCGAAGTGGGAGGTGATTTAAATTATAATAATCCTCCAGAGATAGAGGTTTCATATAATGCATCAGCATTTGCTGTATTCGCTAGTGTTAGAAGTGCCATACTTGAAAAACATGCTAGAACAACAAGTGAGATTTGTAGAGCATCTAACTGCGGTTCTCCACCACCAGAACTTAGTGATACAATTGATTCGGAGAGTGATGACGAAGATAAAACATCAACTATTCAGAGTTTACCAAAGGTATGTAATATATATGAGTATTATGTTGATTAATAATTATCTATTAATATTTTGTTTCTACAGATTGTAGGTATTGGATTAAGAAGCGTTTTTACCTTAATACGTGAAAGTAAATCTGTTGATCCTACATTATGTACAAAAGCACTAGTAGCCTTATTGGATGTATTACAAGGACAGCTCCCAGAAGGCTTAAAATCTGAACCAGATGATGTCATAGGTAAGAATTAAAATTGAATTAATTGAACTAAGTTAATGCATCTCTTAATCTGATTAAAAATTAATTTATTGTATTTTTCCAGATCTTTTATTTGATTTGCTATTAGATCTTGCAACATCTCATGGCCCTGAATCAGCGGCTGCCAATGATGGTAGTCATCTGACAGCAGTTGCATGTGCATGTCTATTAAGTCTTGTCGTAGTCAGAGGAGATACTGGTCGCCTTTTAACAGCAGTAGCTGCTTTACTCATGTGTCCAAGAGCATTAGCAATTCAAAATATACAGGTAAAGTTTTAAAAACGTATAGACTAGATATTTCCAAGTTTAAAATATAATTATTAAGGATAAATTTGTTATTTTCTTAAATTTTAGATGCCATGTGTGTTAACTTCGCTGCAAAGGAGTGTGCACGCTGTTCTTCTTGGTAAACTTGCACGACCAGACTGGATAACGTATGGAGTTCCTAAAAATTCTAGAATTTATACATCTACGCTTAAATTACCAATTGATATAAATAATATTGTACTCAATGGTAGAAGTTTTGTGAGTGATGGAAAATACCTTTACTTGCATACAAGTAAAGGATTATTAAAGATTGGTAGTGGTCATGGTGGTACGATTTGGGGTCACGTATATGTTCATAAGGCTGATTTTTATGCAACAGAAACTGGATGGCTTGGTTATGCAAAAGTTAGCTATATTTTTATCTTCAGTTTTGTTTTTTTTGTTATTCAAAAACATTAATATATTTATATATAATGTTTGTTTTTGCAGAACTCATTATACTTTAAATGTGCACCGAGGAAGCAAAGTGAACTTATAATTATAGATGCAGAAACTCTTGTAGTAACAGGTATTGCTGTATTAGAAGGACGTGATTGGTCATCTTCTGTTATGTTTTCTGATGGTGAAAATCTTGGAATGATTACAGCTGGGAAAGATGTGAGTATTACAATGCTATCATTTAATTTTCATATAATACTTGGCCTATTTTTTTTTAGGATGGTTTTGTGGTGCGCACAATAAATACATTGAGCAATCCAGTATCATTTGCCTCAGAATTACCATTGAAATTAGCAAGAAAATGTGTAGATATCTTCGGATATGCAGCTTTCGATGAAGAACAAGTTGTACATACGTTGAATCTTGGTTGTGATGAAGAAATAGCAATGGTTACAGCAGGAAAAGAATTCGGTTTACTTAAAACTGTATCTGGTAAAGTAAGTATGTCATTTAATAATTATTTGTATACTTATGATTATTGTACTTAAAAGAAATTTGTTGTATTTTTTATAGATATTATATACTGGAAAGGGAGCAGCTTTGGGTATGAAAAGTAACACAAGGCCTAACAGATGGTTGGAACTTACGCTTGGCAAAGGGCCAAGAGTTACACATTTTGCTGCAGGTCATGATGGGCAGCATGTAGTTTTTGTTTTGGAAGATGGCTCTGTTTTATTTGCTGGAACTGCCAGACGTGGAGAAGATGGTGATAGCAGTAAGTAGTATATTTATAAAAGTATATTTTAAATTTATTAAATTATATTATTTGATTATTCGTATGTTATATATTTTTGACGTTTGTATTTCAGACAAAGCTCGTAGACAACCTAAGCCAGTTAAGCCAAAGAAAATGGTCAGAGGAGAAGGAAAATTTATCGTAGATACTGCTTGTAATAATGGTACAACAGCTTTAGTAACAAAACACGGTTCTTTGTTAATGTTCGGAAAAGATACATTGCATTGTGATCCAGTGACAGGCTTGGTTACTGATCTCATAGAAGTTTATGTAGTTCGTGTTTCTCTTGGAAAAGCACATGCTGCAGCGTTAACTAATAAAGGACATCTCTATACATTTGGAATTAATAATAAAGAACAATGCGGTAGGGACTTCTCGACCGTGCATACAGTGAATAAAGAAGCTGCAGTAGTTGCTATGGAAATGGGTACCGGAGAAGATGAGCTTATTGTAGCTGAAGAAGGTACTTACCTTTTTTTTCTATTTACAAATATTTGTATAATTTTTTAAAACAAATAATACTTATATCATTAATAAAGATGGTACAGATCCTGGAGAAGATTGGGAAGAGACGAGGGGTATGTGTGCACCAGGTCAACATCAATGGAGACATCGTGTCTGTATGGTTTGTACAGTATGTCGTCAATGCACCGGATACAGTATATCATGTTTAAGTATTCGACCAGATAGAAATCCAGGCCAGTAAGTACCCTTTAATATTTGAATATATATTTTTTAATATTAATTTTATTATTGCACTAATTATTTATTTGCATATACAGAGAATGCGGTTGTGGTGAAGGTGACAGTGGATGTGCAGAATGTGGATGCTGCCGTACATGCGCAAGAAAGAGTTGTAATAATGGTAATAAATTCTAACTAATATGTTTATTAAAATATCTAATTGTTATTAGAGTAATATATGTAATATTATGTTGTTGTACTATTATAATATAGGAAGATCAGGTTCCAATTATCGTGAATATTTACAAAAACGTTTAGGAGAAATAAGACAACAAAGGCAGAGAAGTGTAGTAGGCCCAAGTGCAATGAGATATGGAATGAAGATGAAAGGAGCTAATAATCAAAGATCAGGTAAGTTAATAACACAATTAAAATGGCGGACAAAAATGACAAATATGTAATTGTTGTATTTTCCTCTGTCTTTCTATTTTTGAAAAAGTTGGATCAAGTATTGCTTCAAAAGGAGGTCAACCAGGTAAAATGGTATTAGGATTAGGTAGTAATCTAGCGGGAGAAGAAGTTGTCGGCGGTAGCGATGTAGAAAGAGGAGATGCTGCAAGAATAGCAAGTATACCACCAGCTAGAGTTCCTATACCTAGCGATAGTCCTGTGATTCAAGTGTCTTGTGGTTTGCATCATACAGGTATAATTTAATGAATTAGTAACATAAACATTTTCAAAAATTGTCATAATCTTGAATGATTTTTGTAAATATTATTTCAGTGGTACTTTTACAAAATGGAGAAGTATACACATTTGGAAGCAATATATACGGTCAATTAGGTATTGGGTATATGGTAACACATGCTGGTCCAGTTCACGTTAAATTACCTACTTT